AGAGAGAGAGAGAGAGAGAGAGAGAGAGAGAGAGAGAGAGAGAGAGAAAGAGATTCATAATTATTTTAATGAAGTTGTTTTATTCAAAAACAATAAATAATATACAAACCAAGTGCACGCAATACGATCGCTTCGGCAAAATCAATTTGATTGCCACACTCACAATCGATTGCCTCTCTCACTCTATGGCAAACACACAAAAATAACGTCAATATTAAACGCAACCGACTACTGTCAATGTTGATTATCCGTGATATTATTTATTCATATTCGATATCATACACATCCAATTATACCATATGACATCGGGTATGGTTTGACGAATTAGCCCAAGACATTGTCATGAAAGTGCTCGCTGGCTGGGCCCCGATCAATTTCTTTTCACAAACAATTATGCAAGCGAACGTTTTTCTTCAATAAATAGAAAATTAAAATTATCGTAATTGAACTGGATAATAAACGAAAGGAGAAGAAAAAAAAAGAGTCGCGCACACACACAATTACATATTACAAGGATAATTTGATTTTGTTTTAGAAGAAGCGACCGTTTAGATTTTGGGTGTGTAAGAAAAACCAAAAATATGGTCAAACACACAATTCATATAATTTTTTTCCTATTGCGGATACATTTCAGCAACTTCAATCTGATTCTTCCCCCCTATCTCTCTGGTGCGCAGAGCTCTTTGGCTGAAATTACTATTTAAATATGGCATGTTACCGTGAATAATATGCGCGCGCAATTTCGCATTTCACATTTTTTACATCATTTTCATATTCAATTTTTTTTTTTGCAAAACATTTATTTCTTTTGTTATTACTTGATCGCCTTCTGTTGTGGGCCTGCACTTTGTATCGGTTTCATCGTCATTATTATTTTTCGCGTGCGTTTTTTTCCTCCATTGTTCTTTGTGTCGTGTGTTATGTGTGTGTGTGTGTCTTTTTTCATTGCTTTGTTTAATATTTCAATGAAAATTAGAACAAATTATTTTCAATTTGAATTAAATACCGCAATAGCCCTTCGGAGCATGTGATGCATGCGAACATTTTGTTTATGTACAAACTCACACACATACCGCATTCATGATAGCATTCAAGTAGAGAGAGACTTGGATGGTTAAATTTATTACATTTTATGCAATTGAATTGCTGATTTGCTTTTTTTTCGCATATCCGACAACCGTATTTCATTTTATTTGTTTTATTTTCACTGATTTTCCATGTATGTATATTTTGAATTTGCGCCACTTTTTACGGATTTCGTGCAACCGAACAAAAGCTAAAATTACAAATTGAACACACAGAGTTTGGACGGACAAAGCAGACAGAAATACTGATAGAGAGTGAGAGAGAGATTTGTAGAGACTTTTTGAGTTTTCGAAATTTCTCTGTACAAATAAATCATTATCCCCGTGTTCGTCGAAAAGTATATCAACTACAATGTGTTACCTTAATTATTTTCGACTTTCGCAATTCCTTTTCCTCTGCTCAGCATAAATTTATAACGAAAAAAGTATATCGCATAAGATGCGTCATTCTTTTATGGTTGTTCGCTAAAACCGCAAAGAATTAATAAATAAAAATGAATAACCGTTCGAAGGCATAAACACACATACATACACGTATTCATCGAGTGAATGGCGGCAGCAACAGCACCACTAGCCAACAACAACAATGACATAGAAGAGGAAAAAAAAACTAAAAATTACAAAAATTATCTAAAGCAATTATTTTGTCTTGTCGCTCGTTTATTTTGTGTGGTCGACCGGGTGGTGGTTTCTTACTTGGTTTACTACGCTTTTTCGAATTATATTATATGTATATCTCTTTTCTTGACCACTTTCTGATTCCTGCTCACAACGTTTCGTTCTTTAATTTTGTTCATTTCGAACCGTGAAGCACACATGTACCACCACCACCACCACCACGGCTACACTTAACGTGCATATTATGAACCAATG